TTCCCGGCGCTGCCAACCCCTCTGCTCCTGCCCCTGTCCAGCCGCGCTCCGCGCTCCGCCCCATCCCAGAGGATGTCTTGGATGAGGAAGGATGTCCTGGGCCTGGAGGAGGCCGGGATGGGCTGCTGGGGGGCCGGGGGGCTCCGGCTCATCGCTGCCGGGGCGCTGCTGGGGGAGCTCTGCCTCCTTCCCGGGAGCGCCCCGGCGCTCATCCTCCTCCTCCTCCTCCTCCTTCTTCTCCTTCTCCTTCTCCTCCTCCCGCTGGCCCTGCCCGGAGCTTCGCTGCCTTCCCACCCTCCCGGCTCTGGATTTATCCCGGAGGCAGCCAAGCCTCCCGGGGCTGATTGGAGAGCCCCGGCGGTGTCTACGCCCTTCCCTCGGCTCTTGGCTCCCGGCGCATTTTTGCCTCTTGGCTTCTCCCTCTTGCTCCGCACGCGGATCCTTCCCCAGGGATCCCTTCCCTGCTGACAGATCACCCCCTGGCTTTTAGGACCAGGAGAAGGATGGGAGTTTTGGGATCAAAACGCTTCCAGACTGAGTTTTTTTTGGGAGGGGAGAGAGGCAGAGCTCTGCTCCCTCCTCCTTTTTGGAATGATTTCTATCCCTGAGCTCTTTGGGAAGACGCCGCTTTCAGGGGGGAAAGTGAAGACCTGAAAGGGTTGGGTGGTTTTTTAGTTTATTTGGGGGGGTTTTTCTTCCCTCTGATGCATTTCCAGTGTGTTGGAGAACAGGGGGAAAACGTCAAAGAGCTTTTCACCCGTTTTGCAGAGCTGAAGAAGAAGATGGAACACAGGGGGAGCAGCTCCAGAGGCAAATCCTCACATGGAAAAGGGCTGAGGGTTCACAGGAAGGTTTGAGCCTAAAGCTCAGCCTAACTCCTTGCCCAGCTGTGGGATGAGGAAGCTTCAGGACCTTTACACACCATCCTGCAAGGCCTTGGGCAACCAAAAGGAGCAAAACCTTCCCAAATCCGAGAAAACCCACAAGAGTTATAACAGATTATTTTCCTTAGGATCTACTTGATTTGTAGCTGTTTTTCCAGAGTTTCTGTTTGGAATATATCAATATATCTCAATAAATCATGACCTCCCATAGCTCTGGTGACTCCAGACTCCTTTTGCTGGTGGAATGAGCACTGGTCAACCCTTTTATTCCCAAAACTTGCCCAAACCCAGCTTTTTCCCCTCAGCTGAAAAGCCTGGGTGTGGGGTTTTTTTAACCTTAAAAAGGGAAACAATAGATTTCCTTGCAGTCCCCCGAGGACTTTGTTGATTTTACAGGAGGGTGTTTGGTTACAGCAGCCCAAAGCCTGGAGCAGGTTGTGCAAACTCTGTCCCAAACTCTGCTTTATCCTGCCCTTTTTTTCCCCTCCTTCTTTAACCTGCTGGCTTGGAAAATATCCCCCTGTATCCACTGCTTGGAAAACCTCAGCAGCTTCAATAATTCAGGCAGAGAATGGGAATTTGGGAAGATTTATGGAGGAATTGCAGCCCGAGGGTTTTATTGTGACTCTCCAACCCCCAAATTTTGGTTCTGGAGAGCGAATTAGGAGTTTGGGAAGGTGCTGCTGGAGGGTGGGGGGGTTCCAAAGGGTCCCTGCTGGATTTAGAGGACAGTTTACCACCACAGAGCCCCTTCCCCTGCACCCATAGGGGCTCAGCCCGGTGTCCATCCACGACTATTCCGGGCTCCAGACCCAGCAGAAAGGCTTCTCTTCCCACGGGCAATTCCTTCCCTTCCCGAGGGATCATTTAATTCCAGTTTATCACTTCCCAAACCACAATAGGGGAATAAACGGTGCCTTCCCTGAATGTCTGGAGTTGTTCAGTTGGATCCAAAAGGATCCTGGAGTCCAGCTCCTGGCCCTGCACAGGACAGCCCCAACCATCCCACCACGTGCTGCCCAAACACTCCCCCTGCACTCAGAATTCCCATTTCCAACCCTTTTTATCCTGAGCTGGCGAGGGAAACGATTTCCTTCCTCGATTTCTGCGTTGATTTGGGGGGAGTTTCCCGTGATTTGCCTCCTTCTGCTGCTGAAGCTCCAAGGAAAACCCCTCAGCCCCTGCACTGGGATGCTGCTGTTTGCCGGGGCTTTTCCCAGTGCCAACAGCCATTCCCAGTGCAAGGACCCCGTGGAATCTTCCCCTGGGACAGAGCCCCGAGCCCCACCTGATTCCAGGAGATATCCCTGAGTGAGTGTGGATGGATGAAGGGGGGGAGAAGGGGCAGGATCCAGGCGTTTCCAGGGGCTCCGGGTGCTCCAAAGTCTGGGAGCAGCAGGAAGAGGAGTTATCTCCCGGAGGGGGATTTTCTGGTTTGATCTGGGTGTCAGGGATGTCCCATTTGGGAAGTGATGGGGCTGAGTGGGATCACAGATAAAAGCTTAATTGCCTCCTGCAAGTCTTTTTTGGGAGGATAAGAAGCCCTTGGGAATGAGGTGGGAAGAGGGGGGAACAGCCTGGAAGGGAGATTTCCCCTGTCCTGGTTGGTGGTGACTCTGTGTCACTGGGACATCCAGCTCTCCTGCATTTAATAAATACATTTATTAATAAATATATGTATTAATATTTATTAATTTCAATATATAATCAGCAACATTTATTAAATGCATTTGATAAATGTCTATCCCTATTTATTAATAAATTTAATAAATAGGGATAGACATATAAATATACATTATAATAATATATAATATTATATATAATTCTATATAATATATAGAATTCTATATAATATTATATAGAATTCTATATAATATTATATATAATGTAATAATAATATATATAAGAAATATTATATAAATATAATCAATACATAAATATAATCAAGGCATTTGATGCTGGATCCTGATTTAGGAATCCTGGACCTCTTGGTTGCTCAGGGATGGGGTTGGGATCATTCAGGTGACACCAGCCCCCAGTGGGATCCTGGGAACTGCCCCATAACGTACCTACAAACCCATTTTACCAGTAAATAAAACCCAAGAGAGCTGAAAATACTTGTCGGGAGTTAAGGAGAGGGAAAAACCTTGGAGAGGGGAAAAACCTTGGAGAGGGAAAAACCTTGGAGAGGGATAAACCTTGGAGAGGGAAAAACCTTGGAGGGGGTTAAACCTTGGGAGCTCCCTGAGCTTGGACCACAAGGTGATTATCTTTCTGCATTAATTACTTGCATTTAATTAGAGTTTAATTTTTTTTTCTCTGAGTCAGGTTTTTGATGCTAAGGTGTCAAAACCACGGATGGAAAAATTCCAGAAACAAAGTGAGGGGAAGGCGAGAGTGAAAACACCATTTTACCAATTGGGGGTTTATTTGGAAAAAATCAGTAATAATAATAATAATAATAATAATAATAATAATAATAATAATAATAATAATAATAATGACAGAAATGGACACCTGTGCTGGGAGATATTAAGACATATAAACCAGAAATATATTTCAAAAGATTAGAGGAAGTCAAACCGTTCAGTGCTGTCCACAAAAAACCAGAGTGGTGTGTGTTTTCCAGTTGTCCTTAGGAAGAAATCCGGTGTTCACACCCTCCTGATGGAGCAAATCCCGGAGGAGCAAATCCTCTGGGAGCTGGGAGGGGCCGGACTCCAAATCCTTGTGTTTAATAATAAATAACAGAGTCCTTGGCTCCCCAAAGTCTCAGTGTTGGGGTGGCAGCGTCCCCTTCTCTCCCAGGCTTTTCCAGGGAGCTTCTCCTGAGCTTTTCCAGGGAGCTTTTCCCGAGCTTTTCCCTCCGCTGAAAGGGTGCTGGAGTCGTCCCGCTGCCCGGGCCGGCGGGAATCCTTTGGATTTGGCTCCTGGATCGTCCTCACCTCCAGCTGCCAGCCCTGAGTGCCCCCCCGAGGGCCGGGGGTGGGAGCTGGGCAGTGCTGGCCATTCCCACGCTGCCGGGGGTGGCCCCGGGGGGCAGCCCGGGATAACCCCCCCCAAATCCAGCCCCGCAGGAGCCGCAGCAGGATCGGCAGGAATAAGGGCCGGCAGGCAGGCTGGCAAAGGCTGGGTAAGGCCGGGAACCCCCCAGGCAGGGTTTGCCATCCCTGACCAGCACTGGCACCGCCACCCTGCGCGGGGGGGGCGGGGGGTGGGCGGCCAATTCCAGGGATTTGTCCTGGCGCTGCCTCTTGCTCTTGTAGCGCCGGTTCTGGAACCAGATCTTCACCTGCGTGGGGCTGAGCTGGAGCAGCCGCGCCAGCTCCTCCCTCTCCGGCGCCGACAGGTATTTCTGCCGCTGGAATCGCTGCTCCAGCTGGAAAACCTGCGCCTGGGAGAACAGGACGCGCGGCTTCCTCCTCTGCCGCTGCCGGGGGGGGCTTTTCTTCTCCTCCTCCCCCTCCAAGGGAGGGGCGAGCGAACATTTCCCTGCAGAGAAGCAAAAAAACCGCGGCGGAGTCAGCCCCAAATCCATCCCCCTTCCCATTCACCGGGAAGGGCATCCCTCGGGAATAAGGTGAAACGGGGCTGACATAGGGGAGAAATTAATAAATCAATAAATTAAAGCTTGATGGCCGGTAAATTTCAGGCTGATGGTTGATAAAATGATAAATTAACAAATTTAAGGCTGGTAGTTGAGAAATGAAGAAATTAATAAATTTAAGACTGAGAGTCTATAAATTAATAAATTAATAAATTTAAGGCTGATAGTCCACAAATTTAAGGCTGATAGTTGATAAATTAAGAAATTAATAAATCGAAGGCTGAGAGTTTATAAATTAATAAATTGATTAATTGAAGGCTGGTAGTCGATAAATTGAAGGCTGACAGTTGATAAATCAGTAAATTGATAAGTTAATAAATTGAAGGCTGGTAGTTGATAAGTCAGTAAATTGATAAGTTAATAAATTGAAGGCTGGTAGTCGATAAATTTAAGGCTGATAGTTGATAAACCGATAAATTGGCAAATTAATAAATTTAAGGCTGACAGCTGATAAATTAAGAAATTAATAAACTGAAGGCTGGTAGTCGGTAAATTTAAGGCCGATAGTTGGTAAATCAATAAATTGATAAGTTAATAAATATAAGGCTGACAGTTGATAAATTAATAAGTTTAAGGCTGATATTTGATAAATTAAGGGGCACGGGAGGGATGGAAACCAGACTTCCAGAACCCAGGAAAGGGGGATCCCACATCCCTGCGA